TTTTTTTTTTTTTTTTTCTTGAGAATTATCCAATTGCTGTTACCATATGAATGCAGATCAGGAAATCAGTCCTTTTAGAGCTTGTTTTTGGCTTGGACTAATATGTGATGCCGACAAATCCATGATAGTTTTTTCACCGAAACATTGCGCCAATACACGTGCATAACTTTTCACTGCACTGCGTACTTCCGAATCGCCACGATATTGCGCCGGTGATCGTAATAATTCCCACAAGACAGACAGACCGGTCATCTCCACTTGTCGTGGCTTGTTCGGATATACCATCTCGTTCAGTTCTAAAAATTTATGCGAAATAGGATGCACTGTCTGTTCCAAGATGGAGCGGGGCCCTGGGTCTTCATTATGCTAGGCAACTCGTCAACGCAATCCATCAAAATTATGTTTTTCAATTTGATATAAAAGAAAAAATAAGCATTTAAGGCACTCACTGCTCAGTGTACTGAGCATAAACGGTTTCTGTTTAACATTTGCTTGTTTCGTCGCTGCCGCAAACGATGTTAGAAGAGCCGTGTTATCTGCAACACAACAAAAAAACGGGAGTAAAATGAAGTGAATTTATGCCATCGCTGGTCTGGAGAAACTGTCGGGTGGGATAATGACTTCTGAAAATGAGAACTACAGCTACCAACCTCAATCTCAATTTGCCTTTTTCAAATTCACCTAGGCGCAGACACGATTTCGGCAGCAAATTTAAAAGCACATAATAAAGTAACTGAAAAAAAAGGAATTTTATTCCGAAATACTGAAACGCATAGAAACAAAGTTGTAATTTACTGTGAACGCGATTTACTGTAACGATTTGACGAATGTAGCCAGCTCTGGTCAAATAAATTAGAAAAGTTTCAGACATACGGTTGAAGAAACAAACAGCTAATTTGGAACTGACCGAATTGTCAACGTATCAAAGTGCTGTTTGCAGTGAATATACTGGATAAGCAGAATCCCAATTTTGAAAATAATTTATCAAGCAAATTACCAATATATTTTGTAATTTCCTCGATACACAACTTGCCATGTTGTCGGTGCTCTTCACTGCGACTAGACAAATGTGACATTAACGAACGAATGAGGTGGTTGAGGACGGCTTTCAGCGAGGCTTCTTTGGAGAAATAACTAAAAATCAGGAAAAAGGTAAAGAAAATTT